AATCCTAATTCACAACAAATTGTTACAGTGAGCATGGAGAAGATGCCTCCAACAAAGTATGAGATTGAAAAGTTTACCGGAGTGAAACACTTCAGTCTGTGGCGATTGAAGATGAAATCCTTACTAGTTCAACAGAGTTGTTTGGAAGCGTTGAAGGGAGAGGCATCCATGGACGCGGCGTTAACGGAAAAAGAAAAGACAACCATGATAGAGAAAGCCCGCAATGCAACATTGTTGAGCCTTGGTGATAAGGTTCTTCGACAGGTATCAAAGGAGACTACGACATCAGAGTTATGGTTGAAACTTGGAAGTTTGTACATGACCAAATCTCTGGTGAATCGACTCTACCTGAAGTAAGATTTGTATTCATTCAAGATAAGTGAAGACAAAGTTTTGGTTGAGCAGTTGGATATGTTCAACAAGCTGATTCTTGATCTTGAAAATATTGATGTGAAGATTGATGATGAAGATCAAGCACTACTACTGTTGTGTGTTTTGCCTAGAACACATGCTCACTTTAAAGAAAGTCTCCTGTATGGAAGGGAGTCCCTGAGCTTTGAAGAAGTTCAATCAACCTTGTATTCTAAGGACTTGAACAAACAAAAGGAGCATAAACCTTCAACGGTTGGTGAAGGTTTGACCGTTAAGTAAAAGTTCTTGCGAAAGGATGGTAAGTTCGACAAGAAGAATGGTAAAAGTCAGCAGAAGTATTATAGTAGCGAAGTATTTGATATTTGATGCTATCATTATAAGAAAGAGGGTCACGCAAGAAAAGTATGCCCTGAGCACCTGAAAAATCATGGAGGTAAGGATAATGGCAATGCAACCATTATTCAAGATGACTTCGACTCATCTGATGTCCTTATGGTTTCAAGCAGTGACTCAAGAAAATAGTGGATTATGGATTCAGGTTACACTTGGAACATGACTCCAAACAGAGCATTGTTCGAGGATTTATGTGATCAAGATGGAGGGTCAATGCTGCTAGGAAATAACAAAGCTTGCAAAATTACAAGTATTGGATCTGTGAGATTCAAGCTCCATGATGAGTCAATAAGGTTATTGACTGAAGTCAGGTATTTACCTGATTTGAAGAGAAATTTGATTTCTCTTGGTGAATTCGAGAAGAAGGGATATGTTTTTCAAGGAGAGAAAAGTATCCTAAGATTCCTGAAGAGGTCGAATGAAGTTTTGAGAGGCGCGAAGAAACAAGGCTTGTATACCCTTAAGGCTGAAGTTGTAAGTGGTTCGAAAAATGTTGCATCCACGAAACCTTTGTCGAAGACAAAAATTTGGCACATGAGATTGGCCGATGTCAGTGAAAGGGGTCTGGTCGAATTAGGAAAAAAAATTGCTTGGAGGAGACAAAGTTGAAAAGCTAAAATTTTTGTGAACCCTGTGTACTTGGAAAATCTTGCAGAGTGAAGTTCAACAAAGGCAAACAAAGAACTCATGGATCCCTTGATTACATCCATGATGATCTTTGGGGGCCTGCAATATTCAAGAGCAAGATATTTTCTATCCATAGTCGATGATTATTCCAGAAAGTTATGGGTATTCATCCAGAAGACTAAGGATGAAACTTTTGAGAATTTTAAGGGTTGGAAAACTCTGGTCAAAAATTAGACTAGCAGAAAGGTCAAGAGGTTGAGAACCGGCAATTGCCTTGAATTTTGCAATGAGGCATTCAACAGTTTTTGTGATGCCTCAGGTAATGCAAGGAACAAAACTACTGCAGGTACTCTACAATAAAATGGTTTGGCGGAAAGGTTCAATCAAACTATTTTGGAAAGAGTTAGATGCATGTTGACTAGTGCTAGGTTAAAGAAGGTATTTTGGGCTAAGGCTGTTTTAACAACAAAATATCTAATAAAAAAATGTCCTTCGACTGTGTTAGATATGAAGACACCTGAAGAAGTTTGGTTGAGACATCCACCTAGTCTCGACAGACTGAGAGTATTTGGCTGCATGGCCTATGCTTATATTAGACAAGACAAGGTCGAACCTAGAGCCCTGAAATGCATGTTCATGGGATACCTTGAAGGAGTCAAAGCTTATAGGCTATGGTGCCTAAAGCCAGTTCACAGGAGGTGTATCACCAGTCGAGATGTAGTTTTCAATGAAGCAGATATGGCTTTCAAGAAAACTGATGATGCTGACGAAGAGCTGGAACAGGGAGAGATTCCTATTAAGGTGGGGCATGTTGATGCTGAATTGCGTACCCCAGATAAAGTCGAAGAAGAAGTAGAAGCTGCTGTCAAAGATGAGGAGACTGATAATGACTACCTACTAGCAAGAGACAGGTTGAAGAGAGTAATCAAGTCACCTTAGAGACTTGGGTATGCAGATCTTATAGCTTATGCCTTAATCTTTGCAAGTGAGGTTCTCGACGAAAAAATTAGATACTATAAGGAAGTTATGAGGAGTCAAAAGAAGATTGAATGGCTGAAGGCCATGGATGATGAGATGAAATCTCTTCATGATAACAACACTTGGGAACTGATTAAGAGACCTGCTGAAGCCAGGTTAGTCAGCTGTAAATGGATTTTCAAAGTTAAGGAAGGAATTAAAGGAGTGGCGTCGAAAATATACTAGGCATGATTGGTCGATAGGGGTTTCACTTAGAAAGAATGTGTCGACTTTAATGATTTGTTATCTCCTATTGTAAGCACAAATCCATTCGAATGTTGCTTGCCACAGTGGCACAATTCGACCTTGAACTAGAATAAATGGATGTGAAGACTGCGTTCTTGTATGGTGATCTAAATGAAACAATCCTAATGAGGCATCATGAAGGGTATGTTGAAAAAGGGAAGGAAGATTATGTGTGCAAGCTGAAGAAATATTTCTATGGACTGAAGCAATCTCCTCGACAGTGGAATAAGAGATTCGACAAGTTCATGGCACGCATAAGTTTCATCAGAAGTCAATTCGACCACCGTGTTTACTTCATATTTCGACCTGGAAATTCATTTTTTTTTTATTTTGTTGCTTTATATGGATGATATTCTAATAGAAAGCACCAATTTCGAAGATGTAATGAGGGTAAAGGCTGAACTCAATAAGGAGTTCAAAATGAAGGATCTGAGAGCTGCATATAGGATTCTTGGGGTTGACATCCGAAGAGATACAAACTAGTCGAAATTATGCTTATCTCAAGAGGCATACCTATGGAAGATTCTCGAAAAGTTTGGTATGTCGAATTCAAAGCCTGTTGTGACTTCAGCTAACCCTCAATTCAAGTTGAGTATAGACCAGTGTCCCAGTACTGATGTCGAAAGAGCTTATATGAATAACATTTCATATGCTAATATAATGGGTTCTTTGATGTATGATATGGTCTGTGCTAGACCCGACATAGCATATACAGTAAGTCTTGTAAGCAGGTACATGACAAATCCTGGAAAGGCTCATTGGAAAGCATTGAAGTGGATTCTAAGATACATAAATGGGTCTCTGAATATAGTCCTAATTTATGGTGGAGTCTTGGGTGAAGATAGTAAAACAATAATCGAAGGATATGTCGATTCTGATTATGCAGGTTGTATGGGTTTTAGAAAACCTATTTCTGGATATGTGTTCACTATGTTTGGCACAACAATTAGTTGGAAAGCAACGCTTTAGAAGGATGTTGCCTTATCAACCACTGAAGCGAAATATATCGCCCTAACTGAAGCTGTGAAGGAAGCATTGTGACTTAAAGATTTTGCAAAGGAGCTGAAACTTTAAGGTCGAGTTGTCACGGTTAAATGTGATAGTCAAAGTGCAATACACCTGTTGAAGAATTCAGCCTATCATAAGCGAACCAAGCACATTGATGTGTGACTGCATTTCATCAGAGGGGTAATTGAGTGTGGAGAAGTCCAAGTGCTGAAGGTTTTGACAGATCATAATGCTGCTGATATAATCACCAAGACATTGCCCAGTTGCAAGGTCGAGTTGTCACAGTTAAATGTGATAGTCAAAGTGCAATACACCTGTTGAAGAATTCAGCATATCATAAGTGAACCAAACACATTGATGTGTGACTGCATTTCATCAAAGGGGTAATCGAGTGAGGAGAAGTCCAAGTGCTGAAGGTTTTGACAGATCATAATGCTGCTGATATGATCACCAAGACATTGCCCAGTTGCAAGTTTTTCCGCTGTATGCAGTTGATAAAGCTCCATGAAGAAAGCTAGTTTGTTTCTTGATGGTAGAGTTTGATATAAGGTGGAGATTTGTGAGATATTGGATCGAACTCTAATTAGCATGCCGTCGAAGTTCGCTCACATGTTGTTGTCGAAGACCTACATGCTGTAGTCGAATTGTGTTCTATTATGTAGTTGTTGAATTGTGTCTTGTGTTAAGGATCCAATTATTTAAGTTTGTTTGTACCCTAAGCTAGTTTGTAATGGGTAATTCTTAAAAAACTCATTAATTTAGTATGTTATGTTTTATTATAAATAGCATAATAGTCTTTCATCTTAAGTGTGGTGTGAGAAAACTTAATTAGAGTGAGAGAAATATTTGTTATTCTTGAGTACTTATAATCTGTTTTATAGAGATAATAAAGAATAACCGTTATAACTAATCCTTATTGTTCTTTTTGTTTTTCCTTAACCTTAGCCCTCGTATGTTTCTTGATCATAAAAAAATTTAGTATATTTTATTTTAAAACGTCCTAATTCACAACAAATTTAATACCCAACTTAAAATCTCTACTTCAAACCAAATTAAACGAGTAAGAAGGCTTTTTGATTGGTTCTGCAATATTATTTACTGAACCCAAAATCAAATTTGAACGTGACTGTAGTAAAGTTACAGAAAGAGACAACATATACATATATAAAAGAATGGTCTTCACCCGCGCCTTAAAATTCCAATGGATGCATAACTCAATTGGAATATTGGGCTGCTGCAATGAAACCATAACAGCAAACAATTATTAAAGAGAGAAAAATATCAATGCATTATAAACGGCCTATAGCCGCCAAGCTAAAGAACAGCTTTCAAACAGATCAAATAGTTGGGCTCATGATGGGAGGAACAAAGCAGAAGTTACCAAAAGATGTTGGTGAGAACACATTCATTGTCAGCAAATCAGGTGTCATTGCCTCTTCCTCCTGATCAAAATTCTTTCCAAAATATTCAGCTTGAAAGTACTGGTACCAGTTGTTCGAAGGAACCGAGTCAATATTAGCCGCGGTTCTGGTACTATGGTCTGTGCTTTGGAGAATATTGTGATGGTCAGGCTGTGGAGGCATGAACTGAGGTGCACAAGTAAGTTGCTGAACAAGTTGTTTGAAGTTTATAGGATCCACTTTGTATACTTTGATAGGTGTTGGTACCAACGGTGCTTTCTTCCATGTCTTTGAGGGTGACTTTCTTACTGAGTGAAGCAAAGAATATTTTGATTGAAAAGGGTATTTATCATGTTTCATTGATTCATTTGGTTTTTTAGTGTTTTGGGACATGTATGAGGATTTATTAGATGAAGAATCTGAGATAGAATAAGATTCCATGAAGTTTCAGTTTTTCAATAATTATAGGTGAGTTTGAAGAAGTTATTTTATATGATTCAAGAGATTAGATAGTTACTTATACTTACTCTTTTGTTGTGATATGATATATCTACATAACTATTTATAGATTTTTGTGTGTGTATGAGCAATAAACATGAAGGAAATATGAGTAATAATTAACACACGTTGAAGTGAATTTCAACGACTTAAGCCTTGGGTTGGGGAATGGATGGAAACGAAAATGAAAAGAGAAGAAATTCCAAAGTGGATATTGTCTTTACCGTCGGCGGATCGATGCATTATGTAACGTAAGTAGTATTATCCTATATATAAAAATGCGGGAATGGAATTTTCTTAACCTATTGTCGGATATATATTAAAAAAATGCCTCCAAATTTGTCTCTGTTCAAAAGGTCAAAACATGTATTTATATAAAGTCAAATATGTCTCTGTTTGTCACAAGACGACTGACTATATTTGGATGGAGATTCAACTTCATGATGAATGGAGTGATGATGAAAGTTTGACAAAACAGTTGATAATATCAGCATCTTCCTCTTCCCACTTGTTATTGGACCTCTCTTATTCAAAGAGAATTACTAGTGCTCGTATGAGTATTTAGATTAATGGCACTGCAACGGAATTAGACGGCAAAATGATATGGTGAGAGATACTTCTCATAACACAGTGATCAGCTATGTAATTAAATTGATGGATCCGACACAAACATACCCAAAACGGATTAACTAGGTTGTATGTTTGATTTGGGAATTTTTTTTAATATAACTATATATTATATAATAATTACTAAACAAATTAAGTTTTAAAAAATTTACAAAAGTAGCTACATTTCAACGTGCATTTCCTGTTCCAATTGGCGAATTAGGTCAAAATTAAAAAATAAAAAAAAAGACTTGACCATATGAATTGGCGAATTAGGCCAATAAGAAAGACTTCGCCAGGTCAATTGGCGAATTAGGCCAATGAAATTTAATTAGGGTTTTCACGTTTTAATGTTTAGAGTATTTTGTTTAAATATATACTTTTTGATTTATAACTATATACTTTATTTTTAATTAATTATTTAATTATTTTGATTATGATTTAATAAATTAAAATGAATTTTTTTATAGTTGTTATAAATATTTTAATAAATTGATTGTGTAAATATTTGATTATTTGTATTATTTGTTTTTGGTGTATTTTGATGAATTTAAGTAATTATAAAAAAGAAGGTTTAATAAATTTAAGTAATATTTTTAAATAATATTTATGAAAAGAATGTTTAATAAATGTAAGTAATATTTATTGTTTTTAAATTATAAATTATTTAAAAATTCTAATTATAAATTAATTTAAATACAAAATAAAAATTGAATAACAAGTTAATTTTAAAGCATATAAATTGATTTAAATTATAAATTTTAAAACGTAAAAATTGATTAACCATTGAATTATAAGGTGTATAAATGTTGTAAGGTTATTTAGGTCATATTATATAGGGTACGTACCATTTTTTTTACTATAAATACGACCGCAAACACATGTATGTTTTCACAACATTACATCCCAAAAGACTAAAGTCTTAGTGCAGTTTGAGTTGAGTGGAGTTTAGAATGTCTGCATTTCTAAATCAACGTTCTTCGTCTTCGTCCTCATCAGCATCGGAGGAACCTTTTCCGACGTTCGATCTAATGAAAAGAAATGCCCTAGTTGTGTTTTCAGCAACAAAGCCTCCGATGAAGGTGCTCCTGTGGAATACGCAGACGTTGGAGCACTTGCACAGGGAACTGAACCGCTGGCTAGAAGGGGATATTAGTCCAGGAGAAAAGATTAGGAAAATTGAGAGGTTGGTCGAGGAGACCGGGAGAAACGGAGTTACTCGCGAATGGAGAAAAGTGGAAAATGATGATGGCATCCTTGTGATGATGTTGACACCAAAGAAGATAAAGTTGATGGTCGTGATATCGTAGATGCCTTGGTGCAATGTGTTATTGTATGTCTTTACGTTGTTGTTATGTTTGTTTAATTTATGATGCCTGGGTGCAGTGTTCTGTCTTTATGTTGTTGTTGTGTGCGTTAAGTATGCTTTTAATCGAATTAAATTTGCTATTAATCAAATGAAATTTGCTATTAATTGAATGAAATTTGCTATTAATTGAATGAAAGTTGCTATTGAATTAAAGGGACAAGATTAAATATGAAACTATGATCTGCTGCTTGATCCCACGTTAGGACATTTTGTTCGATTGTGTCCTGGTTGCCGACACGAATTACACAATCTCACCAGCTTGTCTGTGGTATCCATCTCAGTTCGAATGCGCGTGCTGTTAGGCCGACCCTTCTTCTGTCTGCGCATCAAGTCATTATGCCAAACAATTTCGCCTTCGTATTCAGGCCAATAGTCCTTCTTTGCCACGACTTGAAAGTTGTGTGTGTAGACATTGCATAGACTAATGACTTGGTGAACTGCAGAAAGAAGGTTGGTTGGGTCCTGGCGCAACTTGGAACATGCTGCTATGACATGAGAGCACGACATACGAAATGCTTGAAAATTTCCACAATCACACCAGCTCTTATCCAATTCAACACGGTAAAATCCTCTAGGCCTCCCTTCGTTGTGATCCATAGACTCCGCAACACTGAAACAACCAGCTGTACGGTCAAATATTGTGACCACGTGTGTGTTGGCTTTGGCAGCTTCGTCTTTCATGAATTTCATTGAAGTATCGCTGTACAGCTGGCCTGATTGTAATACCGAACCCCACTTCGTACGTCTGCTATCAAAGAGTGCTCCTAGCCTAAAATAGGTTGCCTTTACCAAGGCAGTTATTGGGAGGTTTCGGATTCCCTTGAAAACAGAATTCATTGACTCGACGAGGTTGGTTGTCATGTGGCCCCATCGCACCCCATTGTCGTATGCCCGCGTCCATTTCTCCCTATCAATGCTATCAATCCATCTTAATGCGTCCGCGTTGTTCAGTCTGATCTCGTCCCGGTAGTATTTGAATGTGGGTTCAGTTAGTGCATATCCCGCGTTCACAACCTTCTTTCACAGTGTCCTGTCCTTGATTTCCCGCATGAAATTTTGGGAAATATGCCTTATGCAATAGACGTGGGTCGAGGGAGGATCCTGCCAACCGTTGTCATGGTTGTTGTATGCACTCTCGATGGATGGGTGTCGATCAGAGATCAAACATAAGTTAGGTTGTGGAGACACGTAAGAGCGGAGGTTTTTTAAGAAAAAACTCCAACCCCCAGCAGTCTCCCCTTCTACTATGGCGAAGGCTATTGGGAAAATGTTGTTGTTCCCATCCTGTGCCACAGCCATGAGAAATGTGCCCTTATATTTCCCGTATAACCATGTTCCGTCAATTTGAATTATAGGTTTACAAAATGCAAACCCTTCGATGCATGGTTCGAACGCCCAAAAGACTCTATGGAAAATTCCATTTCCACCAACACAAGTCCCGTCTGGTGTACAAGCAGGCATCGTCTCCAATATCGCAACAGTTCCTGGAGAGTAGTGTTTAAGGGCCACCAGGAATTTAGGAAGTTCCTTGTACGACTCCTCCCAATTTCTAAACACCCTTTCAACCGCTTTAGTCCTGGCAATCCAGGCTTTTCGATACGAAGGAGTGTAGTTGTACTTTTGTACCATATGTGCTATTATGGTACTCACCTTCAAAGATGGGTTGTCGCTAACAACTGACAGAATCTCATCGCAAATCAATTTAGAGCTGAGTTTGCGATGGTCTTGCATCGGATTTGAGATTATACAAATGTGGGACAGACCCATTGACCCTATCTTCCAGGAATCACTTCTCTTCCTGAAAGATGCTGTTAATCGGAATGGGCACTCCTCATTGCGACAATAGATCGTATACCGCGTCGGATTTGTCCGATCGACTCTGTAGTCGGCTGACAAGTCCAGGTGAAACTGTTTGATAGCCCGGACACAATCTTCCTTCGTACGAAACTCGTCACCCTCTTTTAGTTGCCCCTCTGGTGTGTAGTTGGGGTAGTAGAAAACATCGGTTGAGGGTTCATCATCACCTAAGGCGATAGTAGTCATGTGTTGAGGTGGACAATAGACATTGTCAGGTTGAACTTCGTCCTCCGGATTGTTCACCATCTCGTCAACAGTGACTTCAGTTGCTTCTTCTTCTTCATCAACGACATTGACTTCAGGGTGTTCATCTTCCTCATCGCAAAAAACTTGAGACGAATCAAGTTGCTGAGACAATTGTTGTTGTTGTAACGTAACATATAACACGATATCTGAGAATCCAGAATACTCGTGACTGCGGAACATGTTACACACGTCTTCATCGTCACGCACCTTTAAAGGGCAAAATTTGCATGAATCAGGTCCGCCAAAAAATACTGGGTTTTTGTATATTATTTTCCCAACTAGACCACATTGCAGTTTTCTTTCTATTCTTGACTTCAGGTGTAAAAAATTAGACCTTCTGTCAATTAAAAATCTTGTAACATTCGTGTTTCTGAAATTGTATCCCGACACTTCACATTCGAAAACTTCACCGTTCAGATGAGCGGAAATCATATATTGTGGTGTTTGAGACATAGTGAAAATTGTGGTGTTTGAGTGTTTGAGGGTATGAGTGTTTGAGGGTTTGAGTGTTTGCATGTTTGAGGGTCTGAGTCTTTAATGTGTTTGATTGTTTGAGTTTAAAGAGTTTAATGGCTTTATAAAGGGATGAGTGTTTTCTTGTATAAAGATTTTTTTTTACATGTATCAGTAAATGATTGTGTAATTTTCATATGTGACCCTGCGAATCAATGGCCATGCGTCAGGACTCTCTTTGCATGCAACAGGACACTTGTCACGCATGCTCCACAATCAATTACAAGCATCAGAAACCTCTGCCATGAATTAATGACATGCAGGCCTACGACATGAATTAATGCCATCAGGAATCTCTGCCATCAACATGCATTTACACATCACACACACACACACACACACACACACACAC